TGGCGGGTATTACATATATCTTCTCTATGAAAATATAGGAAATATTATTTAAAAGATGTGCATAATCTGTCTTCTATTGTTTTTCTATTTATTATTTTATTTTTAAGGTAAAATATATTTTGACTAATTTAATTGGAGAAAGTTTAATTCTTACACGTATGTATATGCGTATACCTAGTTTAATTTTTTATGCATATCAGTACATTTTCTTTCTCTAGTTTAGTTGGATGAACATGCTTTTCTGCAAATGCAGTAATGTTCATGTTGTGCACTTATTGCTAAAAAGTTTGTGCTGACTTCACCAAAGATTTTGGCTGGGAAAGGAATTAGCCGACTTCTGGTACGTAGTGCTTCTAAACTTGCAACAACCAATTTCTTTTCTTTTCTTTTTTCCTTTTTCTTTTTTTCTTTTTAAATTTTTTTATTCCGTTTAATCTTTTTATGTTTCATATATTCAATAACTACTTCGCCAAAAAAAAATTGCTGAGATGTTCCAATGCAGTTAACTATCAATATGTGCCCTTTCCCCCTCCGAAATATCCAACACAAACTGAAAAATAGAACTTCTGTTATGAATATTCTTCTTAGGAGATTTGTAGATTTATCAACATTTTAGGATATGGACTATCAACTTCTTGACCATGCCATTAAACGTAAAACTGCATTAGGTCAAGATAGAAGTGAAATGAGGTTAAAAGACAAAGAAAGAAATAAGTGAAATGAAGAGGTCACACTTATACTAAATAATTAATTTAATAAAAAAATTAGAATTACCCCATCAATATCATTCTTCTGTGCTCTAGTATTTTATTAGGAAAAAATATAAGTCCATTTAAATATAAAAATAAAATTATATGTAGAAAGACATATATGCATCAACATTTAAATTGAGGAGGTATTTGCTCACACCAATTCTATCAGTTGATACTTGGTAGAGCGCCATAGTCATTAATAAGATTAGGTTGAAGCAGACTTGATGTAGTATAGTTATCTTTCTAGGTTAGGCCTGTGCTCATTTGTTTTGCATATTTATTTGTGTAACTTCTAAAATTAAACAAGCAAGGATGGAAGATGAAGATAGTATTCGGTCCTTCAGGGACTCAGAATGACACTGTAATACTAGGTGGTATGACTTTGAGCGGAATAAAATTTTCACATGCTATATTGTTATTGCTTGTCATACTAGTTAACCGTGTGTTCCAATATATATAGTCTCTAAAACACATGGAAGGCTTGTGTATGTCCAATTTGATCAAGTGAATCCAATTCTTTTATTGTGATGTTGGAACTACATTTTCGTTTTTGATCATGAGAACCAACCTACAGCCACCATGATAAGATATAGATGATGTCATTCTACAAATTCCTTAGTTCTCCCCACATTTTTACAACTGTGAGTTCAGGTGGGAAGAAAATCTTATTTGAACTATGTTGGCCTGACACGATCAAGCATCCTTGGTTTTCATGAACATCCAAATGCCACATTAATTAGTTGCAGCATGTTACTTCTATCCTTGCTCCATCTTTTGTTTGATGACTTCTTCTTTCCTTGTGATGATCATTCTTGCTCTATCTATTGTGTCGCATTGTTCTTTTTTTTCTTTTTCTTTTTTTCTTTTTCCTTTTCAGATCTTCCATTTTGTGGGTGAAGCAGTTGTTTTCTAGTGGGTAGAAATCATAAACAATATATATATTGTGTTGTTTGTACTAAATGCTTCTATCACTATGATGATCATTAATATTTAATGTGATCTATTTAGTTATATTACTAGCCTTTATTATGTAAATATGAAATGATAACTCATAATATATTCCGCATATGCTTGTCTATTTTGATTTAATTTCACTTGATTCTTCATATCAGCTTGTAAACTAAATTATGGACACCTCCGAGGAACCAATGCATAGAGTTTTAAGGTCCCGCAAGGCTGAAACTGACCAACCATCTATAAGTTCACCTACTACACAATCGAGTGGATCAGGTGAGGATAGGAATTCAACAAATGAAAGAATGGAAGGTGATGGTATTTCAAGTTCTTCACTACTTGCTTTTGACTATTTACTTGAAATCATTTAATATAATAACTTCATTCACTAGCTGTTTGGGTTTCCAAATTTGTAATATTCTTTGAATTACTACCTAGGATATAAGTGAAAAAAACAAAGAAAACCGTTCCAAGAATGAGGTTCCACATTATTCTGGATCGATGCCTTTCGTCAGACGTTACGATGCTTATGCACGTAATATATGAAACAATAATTATAAATTTTTTATTTTATATTCTACGTTCTAAACCATATATTTGTGTAATGGTCACTATTACTTTGTACTGCAGGTCAAACTCAAAGAAAGGCAGAGCCAAGAAGATGAGGATGGTAAAAGGGGTGAAGATCTTGTTATTCGCTTATATAAGGACACACATTTTAAGGAACAAGGTGGATGGGCGCACGAGAAAGCTAAGAGGAATTTTTTAAGTTAACTATAAGCTAGCATGTTAAATTATGAAATTTGGATCTCATAATATTTTTGCGGTTTATAGGGGTTACATGCCTTTAAGTGACCATTTTTACGGTTTGTAGGGGGTCACATGCCTTTAAATGACCATTCTTGATTTTTTTTGCACAAATGGAGGTGTGGAATTGTTGCAGATGAAGTGTGGTTTTCATTCATTGCATTTCATGTTTAAATAATAAAAAAAAATATTATGTAACCTCTTCAATTGAGTGGAGAAAAAGAAGAGAAAACTGTAGATCCAACGGAACATTCTCTAGCCCATCCAAACAACCAAAATTTCGAGCCTTCTCCTTCCATAAAATGAAATTCTATGTAGCATTGTCCCATGAGAAGTGAATCCCATGATTAAGAATTCATCATACCATTAACAGTTTATTTTATTTTATTTTTTCTTTTTTTATCCAACAAGAAACATCATTATAGGGAGAAGAAAGTACGAAAAGAAAGAATTCTTTAAAAAATAAATACAATTAGGATCTAAAGAAAATAGTGTAACTACAACTATTTGGCAATATTCTTGCCATGCCCTTACCCTGTTTATTGACCTACCCTATATTATTAAATTTTTATTAAGCATGCATGTTATCTACTATCAACTATGATTAACTAGTTCACAACTGCATAAAAGGGAAATTAATTCTCATTAGACATCCCACATCAACACATCCACACAACTACTTAATTCGACGTGTATTTATATTATTTGGCAATCACCTAAATTAATATTGAAGAAATAATTACCATCCTGCACATCAATTAAAAAATAACATAACTAGCAAACATAAAATTAGCTCTTGCCCATTTCTCTTTTCAGTTTTTCCCAGTTTCAAGTGCAAGCTTACTTTGATAGCAATACTAATATAAGGATTTGCTAAAAAGTAAAAAGAAAATTTGAAATTTATTAAATCTGCATTCATTTTAGCTACTTCTGCAGTCCCTTGTCCTTTGAATTAGAGGGGACCATTGGAATTTAATCATTTCATAGTTCAAAAGATTAACAAAAGGAAATTATTATAGAATTGGAAAGGAGAAAGAAAAGCCGACTACCTCACAGTATGGTCCATAATTAAGAGCCTCAGACCAACCAATGCACCACAATGAATTAAAAAAAGCAATGAGAACACATAAAAGAAAAACTGAAATGATTTCACCAGCTTAGTCGGGGGATTATGAGGTCACATTAGGGTGAGGACAAGAGAAACAGGGTAAGGGCATGGCATGCAATCAATATATTCCAGTTATATTTTAATTTTGTTTTTCTGCGGACAACGTGTTCCCCATTCCTCCCTTCCATTTCTAGATTGTTATTTGGTAGTAATATGAATATTGTTATCTTCATTTTATATATTGCCTTGAGTTTTGTTATATTAATTAATTGTTCCCTTTCTGTTATTGTATAAATCTCCTCTTCATTGGCTTATGATATGTCAATAAATTTTGAGTATTTTTATGTAACCTCTTCTTTGTAGAAAAAACTATGGTGCCCTTTTTATTGTGCAAGTGAGATATTTTATAAATTTAAAGATCTACTTTGTATTATGAATTTCTTTGAGAGAGGAGAATGATGAAATGTTGAGAAAATTAAGGACATTTTTGTTTCTAGTTTCTTATATTAGATCTTGAATATGTGTGGTATTCAAAATGTTTCCTTAAAGTAGATTGCTTGTGTTTACGATTAATATCAGTTGTCATTTGTCATTACAGTGTGTTCAAACTCATCCTTCCATTTTGAAAATAAGCATTTTAATAAGCTTTTTTTTTTTTTTTTTTTTTTTTTTTTTTTTTTTTTCTGTCTCTCTATTGAGATTAATATTCTAGCTTACACATGTTTTATTAATTGTCCCCTTCTGTTATTGTATAAATCTCCTCTTCATTGGCTTATAATATTTCAATAAATTTTGAGTATTTTTATGTAACCTCTTCTTTGTAGAAAAAGTTATGCTGCCCTTTTTATTGTGCAAGTGAGATATTTTATAAATTTAAAGAGCTACTTTGTATTATGAATTTCTTTGAGAGATGAGAATGATAGAAATGTTGAGAAAAGGACATTTTTGTTTCTAGTTTCTTATATTAGATCTTGAATATGTGTCAAGTATTCAAAATGTTTCCTTAAAGTAGATTGATTTCAGTTAAAAAATGATTACGATTAATATCAGTTGTCATTTGTCATTGCAGTGTGTCCAAACTCATCCTTCCATTTTGAAAATAAGCATTTCAATAAGTATTTTTTTTTCTCTCTATTGAGATTAATATTCTAGCTTGCACATGATATATTCCTATGCCATATTCTTTCAATTTGCTAGCGAACTTAAATATTTTGCAGGATGCAATGAAATAAATGGCTGCACAAAATTCTCAAAATTCTGATGGTACGAGTCCAATCATAAATGATGTTGAGATAGTGCAAAACCAACTAGGCATAAGGAAGGGATATTGTCATGGATTCGGAAATGGTTTTGTGGCTCCAAGGCATCAACGTGCCTCCTCATAATGTGACGAGGCTTCTAGGAAAAGGGCCAAAATTGCTGAGGAAAGAAATGTACAATTGCGGAAAAGATGGATAAAGTTGAGAAAATACTTGAGCAGTACCAGCAATAGCCGCCACCATGGTTCCTCCAATATCAACAATAGCAGCAGCATCCGCCACCAGGGTTCCACCAACAACTGTCTCCATCAGATTCCCAGCAACAGCAGCAGCCACCACTAACAAGATGGCAATATCAACACCACCAGCATGCACCACCACAACCTCCAACAGAATGACTAATGTGATAAAGAGATAAATTTTTTGGTGCACAAATTTTTGAGCTTTATGATGATCAACTAGTTGATTACTAAACTCTTATTTTTTTTGGGTTGTATTTTGATTACTTTGTGGATTTATTTTGTTTAATGGCTAGTAATATATTTTTGAATGTTATTCTGAATCTATTTTGTTTATGTTTTGTTTGTTTCTAGAATGGTTAAACCCACAAATCAAGAATAAAAATAAAAAAAAAAATTAAAAATATATATTAGGGACAGTCTATCCGTCCCTAATATAATAATTATAATTAAAAAAATAATGTATTAGGGATAGTCCATCCGTCCCTAATATAATAATTATAATTAAAAAAATAATGTATTAGGGATAGTCCATCCATCCTGTAATGACCCGGATTTTCATGGATATTTTTTTTCCGTTGTCTTTCCTTTCTGAGTTCAGTTCCTCTTCGCTTAGTGTCGTCTCGAGTGCTCTACAGTGATTTCCGAGACTCTTTTCTGTGGATTGACAACTTCCTTTGAGGATTGAGTCGTTTCCACATTTTTCGTTTTTCGACACTATTCACTTTTCGTCCTTTTCCCTATTTCGTCCTTTTCCCTACTTTGTCTTTTCTCCGTTTAACACTTTGTTGGCATAACCACACTTCTTGTGTTCGAAGTTGATTTTTAACTTCATGTATCTCCATCTTTAGTGGTTTCCACGAAATACGTATCTTTACTTTTGCAAGAAAGTACTCTGGTTGCTCCTGGTGTCCATAGGGGCATGGATGCAAAGTTCTTTGAAATTATTTTCTTTTCTTGGGGTGTTTTTTGTAAATATCTTTTGAAGATATTTTATTTCAGGGGTTTTTAAGAAAATATTTTTGGAAGATATTTTCATTCTGGGCCATTAGTGTAGTTTTCACTTTTTGGAGGGGTCATTGTGCAATTAATGAAAGTTATTGCTAAATGCCTTGTTTTGAGCCTGAATCCTCGTACGGGATTCATTTTCACTTTTCGCCGAGTCGTGTACTCTTAGAAATTCCTTCTGGTCATTGTTTTCCAGTTTCAGGGTTTTTGGCCCCAGTTTGCGCCAAACTTGTTTTAGGCATAACTTTTTGCTCGAGACTCAGTTTTTGACACCGTTTCTTCCTTTGTTCATTTTGTATCATTTTGAATCTTTTTTGTTCACAAAGTTTTTCCATTTGAGCGTGTCTGCTCAAATTTTACTTTTTCGGACCCAACGAGGCCCGTTCGGGACACTTTTTGAGATTTCTATAAAAGGGGGGTGAAATATTTCATTTTTCATCTTCTCCCCTCTTCATGCATGACTTGGAGCTCCCATGGTAGCCCAAGGGGTGCTGCCATCTTCTCTCTCCTCTTTTGGTTCACTTTTCCTTGATGGAAAGTCTTCGGCCTTAACGTTTGTTGTTCCCCTCGCCGTGCTCTACCTTTTCCCCTTATTAGAATTCAGTTTTGACCATTTCTTGAGTTTGGTTTTGAGGTCAAGTTATGATTTTGATGGGGCTTTCATAGGGGTTATGTTCACGACGTTGTCCTCGATAAAACTAGTAGTTTCGTCGGATTCGGAGCCATTCCATTTTGATGGCTTTTGAGATTTTCATCTCAAATTGAGGTAGGGAATGTTTTAGGCTTTTGTGTGTGTTGTATTGAGTGTTTAGTATGATTATACAACTTATATATATGCCTTTGTATCAAATCTTAAAAGTTATTAATTTTTATTTCTTTGTATAAGATTTAAAATTCATGATGATATATAACTTTGATTTGAATTGTGGCATGCTAGAAAATCTAGTTTTAATATGTTTGTTAACATATATTAAATTGGGATTAATTAAATAAGAATTGCTCTTTTTAATTAATATTTATCTTTTGTGAGAGATTAAAGTGCATGGCCGTACCTTGCATGAAATTAAGTTGTAGTATGTTTCTAAATTAGGTTTTAGCATGTTGTTTAACATACTTTAATTTGAGAGCATTTGGACAAGTATGAAAATCTAGAGATTTTAATTAAAATGATTAATTAAAATCTAATTAAGGGTTCCATTGGCCTAATTGAGTGTTTAGCTTGATATTTGTGATAACTATGACTTATGTACTAGTATATGTTAATTTGGGACCATTTAGAGTTGTTTTAGAATTATTGAGAGATTTAATTATCATGATGTAATTAAATTCTATCTTGTTGCACCGTTGATTGAATCATGTAATTGACATTGATAATATGTTTAAGGCATGATTTTAGGCTTATAATGGAATTATGAGTTTATGTTCCAATATTGAATTATATTATTATAACGTGTAACGAATCCGCACACTGAAGATTCGACATGTGATGTTATTATAGTGTGTAACGAATCGCGCTCTGAAGATTCGACATTGTTATCCTATAGTAGTTGTGGATTTAAAGCATGTGTTGTGTGGTTACAACCTACTTGTGCATGAAGGTAGTTTCGTGTGTTGGTTAATACGTATATAAGTTGTTAACTTAATTATTTTAGAGTCTTGAGACATTGTTACTGTGATATGGCTAAAGTTCGGCTTTAGTGCGGGAGGTATGAGTTCTCCCCAATTGAGATAGTGCGCACTAGGGTGGTCTTCCCAGCGGGTTAATGCCCGGAATAACCAATTTATTCTTGGTTTAGTCCGAGACGTGATGTCCAAGTCTTCCACTATTTGTTTTCGCATTCAATTCCAAGTTTGCAATCATGTTTATATTGTCACTTGTGGTTTTGGCTATCAGCGATTTGATGTTGTTAAGTACATCTATACTAAATTGTTATATTTAGTTGATTTCACACTTTTAGATTTCTAGTTGATAACTTAGAGAATCTATATCTTGATGTGTGGTATTAGATATTCTAATTATGCTAAATTGTTATATTTAGTTGATGTTGCATTTTAGACTTCAAGTTGATAACCTTGAGAACCACTATGTTGTTGCTTTGTGTAAGCATGCTCCTATGTTGTTGCTTTGTGTAAGCATACTCCTATGTTGTTGCTTTGTGTAAGCATGACCCTATGTTGTTAAAATTGCACGAATGAGGTGATTGATACTAGAAATGATCTTAGGTAGCTAGGATGCTCCTTGAGTCTCACCTTGACATAGACGTTAGGTGGAATGAATCACAATAATTAAATCATGCAACTTGTAAAACTTTAGGTCAATGCATGCTCATTTCCAACGAGTAGCTTTATGCTACTCACCCCTACGATACTGGGGCATATTTCAGGTACAGGATACAAAATTGGAGATTTCAATTGCTTGGGTGATTTGCTGAGTTGAGCTTTTTTAGAAGCATTCTTGTACACATGCAAGTGTTAGCGTGTTCATGATTTGTCTATGAAATGTAATTTTTCTAACTTGGAGGTTTGACATGTCAAATGTTGTAAATGTATTGTAATGAGGCTATAGGCCATTGTAATATATCTATTTTCTTATATTACATACACTTGCATGCTCACTTTGGCAAACAATACCTTCCTTGATGAAACAAAAACTCTAAGTAGCATTTTTAGGGAGTTTTACCCTATTCTGTTCCAGGGGCATTTCGGGTATTTCACAATGCAGTTTTTTTCAGTTTTCCTTGCGAGTCACGTAGAAAACTCAATTTTGAGGGGGGGAGGGGGGGGGGGGGGGTTTCTTCTTTTTGTTTTTCCAGAAAATATCATCTTGGCCCTCAAAAATCAATATTTTTCTAAAAAATCCTTACTGCCAGGTTTTGCAAATTTTTAGTACAAATGTAGTTGGTACTATTCATCGACTTTTTTTTTGAAAATCGTTACGACCGATCCGAAACTTCCGGAGGTCTTGTGGGTGTATTTTAAGATTGCTTTTTCAATTTAGGCAATTTAAAAACCTCCCGAAGCCCTATTTCAAAAACTTGAGCAGTAGCTCGGATTATTTTTTTCCTCTTGACCTGATTTTCTTGGGGGCATTCTGGGCATTTTACAATGCATTTTTTTTTGTTTCCGTCCGTAATTGGGGTAGGAAACTTGATTTTAGGGGGGATTTCTTCTTTGAGTTTGTCCAAAAAAGTCCATTTAGATGCCTGTTTTTACTCTCAGTTGCAGTAGTGGTGGGTTGTCCTCGTCGGGCCGCCACGACATCATTTTTGTTTTTGACCTTTCTCCCCCGTCCGGACTCCAAATTGAGTAAAAAAGTTTTTGAACTTGACTAATTTGTCATTGTCTTTCCAGAGGTGTGCTCGATAGCACCTGAATCCACTTTTTGAAAAATGACCATTTTGCCCCTAGGTTCTTTTTGTCCGTTTTTGAAACGACACTTTTACATTTGTTTCCCTTGGGTTCCATGACCTCATTGAGGGTCACATTGGTGTCTTAGAGACACATTGTATCTCTAGAGACCGTTGTTTCACCTTTCGCTTCCGTATTTCGGATCCATTATCGGGTCATCTTTTGGTCATCACTGACGCACCGGGTTTACAAAACTTGGGCCGTCACACATCCCTAATACAATAATTATAATTAAAAAATAATGTATTAGGGATAGTCCAATAATCCCGAATACTATGTGTATTGGGGACAGTCCTTAAAATTGTCCTTAATTCTTACCTTATTAGTGATAGTATATACCGTCCCTAATAAATTTTAGGGACGGTGTTATTTGGGACAGTATGTACTGTCCCTAAAGGTCTATATTACTTGTGCCACTTTTAGTAACGGACCAATTGACCTTTAGGGACGGTTTCGGAGCTTTTAGGTACAGTTCCGACTATCCCTAAAACCCTAATTTCTTGTAGTGTATAGAATCATGATCAGTGGCAACAACTTTTGACCAGCTGGTGTGTGTGTCTCGAGGTCCAACTTGATCAGAAATGGGTTGCTGTGTTAGGTCCAGACCCTTTGGAAGGCTAGTATTTCCATTTTGGTGAAATAGAGGAAAGTCATTGAATGAAGGTATGACTTGGGCAAAAGTGTTTACCCTAATGTTTGACTAATGACTTGCACCTCAACCCAACCCCA